GATAGACTCTTCAGTGACACAGTGAGGCATACTTCAACATCTGGCACTGCCTGGTAATTGATTCCAAATGTGTAACAAGAAGAAAGACTAGGTAATTATAACTCTTTTTTCTTTAGAAGTAGCTATTTTGGCTTGTGTTATCTGACACTAGCAGTCCTATAGGGCAGTGGTTCTCAACCGTTTTTTACCAGCAGCCATTTGTAAACATCGATGGCCAGTCCCAACCCAGTGCCCCTTACTCCCGACCCTCTACCCGCCACTACCGGGCCCCAGGCCCTTAGTGTTTGGGGCAAGGGGGGGGTATGTGAGGGAGGCACGGAGGACACCAAGCAGCTCCTTGCAGGCCGGAATTCCCCTTGTAGGCTGGAACTGCAAGGGAAAAGCCACAGTTTCCTAAGTTTTTCTTCTTTAAAGTAGAATCCAGTTTGTTGATCCATTTTTTAAGTTTGTCCACAACCCTTTCATATATTCATGCAACCCACTTTTGGGTCACAACCCACAGGTTGAGAAACACTGATATAGAGTACCCTTTGATTTTGTTGCTTACTTCAATCTCAAAAATATTGACAAATCAATAATAGCTTCTTCACTCTACAAACACTTCAAAGTGCACACCCTTAATGTCCATGTGGTGTTGGCTGCCCAGTGTATTATTATATAATCTTTAATTAGCAATATAGAAGTTACACATAAACTGATTTAAGTAATCAAAAACTGGTTTAAACCTGTAACAGAACAGAATCTCAGTGCACATAAGCCAGTTTCAAATAGCTGAAGCTGGTTTAAGGTAAACCTGGTTGAATGTAGTCTCAGACTTAACTGATTTAGGTCAAACCCATGAGTAACTGGTGCCACCTTAGTCGGGGGGCACGTGCCCCCCCCCCACAGTGACCAGTCAGCAACCAGGGAGAGTCCCCCCCATGGCCAATCTCACTGACTGGGGGGGCAGGGTTCCCCTGCAGCTGATGGTGCTGACTGGGAAGCAGCCGCAGTCACCCGGGCGCCCCCACCCCCCAGCCAGCGCTCGCGGGTGGGCACTGGTGCTCCCACCTGCCCCCCCTGCCCGTTGCCTAAGTGGGGGGGAGCGCAACCTGTCAGGGGGTGCACCAGCGTTCTCAGGGGGTGCACATGTACCCCCATGCATCCTCTACACATCACCACTGGTCAAACCAGTTTATGAAACTTCTGTCTCAGACCCCTTCCTAGTTAAAGTTAAATCAGAGTCCCCCAGCATCCTAGGATGCTTTGCAACCCTGGGATGCACTGTTCTGCCTGCTCCAGAGAGCAAGGTTGGCCTCACCCCTCTTCTCCCTAGCTGGATCAGTGAGGGCTGGCTGAGAAGGGGATGGGAGTCAGAAACCCAGTTGGGGACCACAACAGGGTCTGCCTGGGTGGGGCACAGCCCCTGCCAAGCTATTCCCTACTCAACACTGGAGCAGAGGGGTGGGGGGCAGGGCTGAGGGTAGCGGGGGGCAGAAAAACAGCCTGAGAGGGACTGCCCCTCAGTCTCTGCTCCCAGAAGGCATCTGCTGTGCAGAGGCAACCCTCTCATTCCATTCAGCTTGGACTCTCTGGCATATAGCCAGCATGGGCTGTGTGACCACTTCCTCTTCCTGCTGCCCCTGAGGTCTCTGGGATTTGCAGTCCAGACTTACAGCAGCAGGACTCTTCAGGGTTCCTCATCACTTGCTCTTCCAGGTGCCTCTGGGATTTGTAGTCCACGGTCACAGCCAGCAGGACTCCGTAGGGTTGTTTCCTTCTATTACACACACACGTCACATTTCCAATGCACACAAGGCATTACATTACACAGTACATACAAGGCTTTCTCTTATCTTTTTGATTTATTACATTCTATTTTAAGTTAGACTAATTTGTGTCTGCTCTCACTGTGTTTCACTGGGCTGTATCTTAGCTTAAGTGAAGATTTTTTGTGGTTCTTTGTTGTGTGCTTGAGGTTGCAAATTGCTGTGTTCAATATGTGCTCACTTTAGAGAAAGGACTATTCTTGTTCAAGCTTTTATGAATTCAATGCCACCACCTTTTTCTCCACCCACCCCCACCTCAGCCTGGCAGGGGCTTCCCCAAGCCTTAGAGCTTCAGTTCCTTCCCTTGGGCAGTGACTGGCAGGCTGGGAGATGTGCTTTAGTACCCGCCATCCCCACCCCCCAGCTTCTGGCCTGAGCCACTGCAGGCATGTGGCTACATTTCCTGAATCAAAAGTGAATGTCTGTTCACTTGCTTCTCAGTTTAAGCTCTGCAGCTTAAACTAACCTGCAAAGACTAAACAGATTCAACCTCATGCTTTTTGACTGTCTGTACTTAGCCTAATTCCCAATTACTCCAACTCTAGGCTTCAAACATTGATGATAGACTCTTCAGTGACACAGTGAGGCATACTTCAACATCTGGCACTGCCTGGTAATTGATTCCAAATGTGTAACAAGAAGAAAGACTAGGTAATTATAACTCTTTTTTCTTTAGAAGTAGCTATTTTGGCTTGTGTTATCTGATACTAGCAGTCTTATAAAGTACCCTTTGATTTTGTTGCTTACTTCAACCTCAAAAGTAATGATAAATGAATAATAGCTTCTTCACTCTATAAACATTTCAGAGTGCACACCCTTAATGTCCATGTGGTGTAGGCTGCATATTATTATATAATTATTATTGTGTATTATTATACAATTATCTTTAACAAGCAATATAGAAAAATCCTTCCTGCAGCACAGCTCGTCATATTTTGTGCTTGGATGTCACAATCTTAGGCCTTTCTATTTATCCCTAATATTGATTCCATTTATAGTCATTACCGCCATTCCTAGGTAAAAAAAGATTATTTTGGAGTGTTTTTCAACTGGTGCCAAAACTGGCAAGCCTGTAGTTTTGTCAACTGATTGAATGTAATGCTTTAGGTTCTTGATGAATGTGTAAAGGGTGTTTCTGAAATTGTGTCAAGTTTTAATCACTGGGCAGAGCCTGTCTAGATCTTGATCATGCAGAGGACAGGTTATTACCTAATTATATACCTATCTAAAATGTTTTTCTGCTGCTGAAGCCCCTAAGAGGGCACAGGAAGCTACAAAATGTGCAAAGAAACTTTCAGGTTTTGCTTGAAGTATGCCATTTTGACCATCAGAAAATGTCTTATTTCTGGATCAAGAAAAAATAAAAGATCAAAATGATAATTACATATTGTCAAGGCAAAACGGTATAATGGACAGAGAAGCATAAAGAATAAGAGCTGGTCTATTAGGGGTAGGCTTTTGAATTGTATAGCCCAGGTATTTGCCATGACTAAGGAGTTTCTACATGGTTAGGAGCGTACATGGTAATGAATATTGGAATTGTTTTCACAGCACTAGAATGAAGAGCAGACATGAGAACAAATTAGCTTCCAGTGGGGTAGTTTCTCTAAAGAACAGATAACTGTATAACCTATCAAAAGATCTTAATTATTGGCTTTCAGAACTTAGTAGCATAGCTCTCTTGAAGGCAATTGGACAAATCCCTACCACATCATATAACTATTTACCTTCTACAAAATGGTTGTACATACCCTGAGTGGAAAGTGAGTGAAGCACTCTGATATAGTAGCATTTAATACTTATTTTGCACAGCTTCAAATTTAAAGTCAAGATGCATGTGAAGTAAAAGCAATAGCAAAACAGTACATGTATGAACAGGCAGATATTTTAGGATTGTGGTAGCTGAGAAAAGGGAAGGAAAAATTTTATGTCTAAAAACAGTTTATGTTGGAGTATTTTCAGTGACATGTATAACAACAGGACATAGTGGTAGTGTAAGAGTGGTGTTGTAGCTGTGATGGTTCAGAAATTAGGTGATTAATATTTCATATTCTTGCCTCTTACAATAGGGCATAGTGTAAGATTAATGTCCAAATAGCAGATAATGATTTCTGCTATCTTTAAGAAAGCAATGAGGAGCGGTATTTTACTAAGCAGATTCATTTTAATAAGCAACATCCATGATTCATATACTCTAAAGGCTTGCAATCATGTATATATAGGTATAAGACTAAAATATGAGTGCTTGCCTCTAATGGTGATATACTGACGTAACTATTTGAAGAATCGTTCTTTTTATTTAAAACAGATCCATTATTTATTATAGACTTTATGTATAAACTAATTCAGTATAGGTAAAGCAATCCAGCATAATTAGTAACAACAAATCAGATCGCTAGCCTATGAAACTAACACCAATGATGTTACTATGAAGAATGGTAGGAAAAATATTTACAAGTTTTTACTGGATTGTTCACTGGGAGGTAAAGTATTTTTATTTCCTCGATTCAGAAAGTAATATTATAAATTGCCCTTATTGTGAAATCTGTTTTTGATATCTGATTCTTGTTTTCTAATGTTGATATCATATAAGCAAATTGACAAGACCTGAGATTATATCCAATGAGAAACATATTTGATAGTACATCGCTTTGTGGGACTGTGGCTACTTGCCTCAAGCAAAGTGTTCTTGTGGGTATGCTTTGGGAAGAAAGTAGTTTCTGGTATATCAAACATAATTATTCTGGCAGTTTGAATTAGTGCAAATTTCAGGTCTTTATTCTAATTAACATAAATTAATACCCAATACCTTTTATTTTAAACCAAGTAAATTTAATGAAAAAAGAAGATCTATGGGTATTGATGATTTAAAATTTAGTTGATCTAAATGAGAATGTTCACTGATTCCTATTTTTCACCAGCTAAAAAGCTGACCTAGAATATTTTGTTTGTTCCAGAAAAAGTAACTTAATAGCCTTGTAATGTGCATAAGTACAGTATTATATCACAGCAACCACTACTGAACTCATTGCTTCATGTATGTGCTGTGTGAACCATAACTTTAAATTTCTTGAATTCTGTGCATTTTAAATTACCAACTATTAAACTTAATTAGGATAATTTTGGAGATCTAAATAGATAGGATTTCTCTAGTACAAACAGGAACCAGGCTACAATATCAATGGTTTTACTCCAACATACAGCCACAAGATACAAAAAATGGGAAGCCTCTCATGATAATACAGTGTATATTATCATAATAAGCAAGAAGCAAGGATTTGTTGGTGTCAACAAGACAACTCCAGTTACTATAATATGAGAAAAGGACCTGGGGGTAACAGTGGACAAGAAGTTGAATATAAGCCAAAAGTGCAACCTTGTTGTGAAAGCTAACGGCATACTGGGTTGCACTAGTTGGAGTGTTGCCAGCAGATTGAGAGAAGTGATCGTTCCCCTCTATTCAGCACTGGTGAGGCCACATCTGAGTACTGTGTTCAGTTTTGGGTCCCCCACTACAGAAAAGATGTAAACAAATTAGAGAGAGTTCAGCAGAGGGCGATGAAAGTGGTTAGGGGGCTAGGGAACATGACTTACGAAGAGAAGCTGAGGAAACTGGGCTTATTTAGCCTGGAGAAGAGGAGAGTGAGTGGGGATTTAATAGCAGCCTTCAACTACCTGCAGTGTGGTTCCAAAGAGGATAGAGCTAGACTGTTTTCAGTGGTGGCAGATGATAAAACAAAGAGGAATGGTCTCAAGTTGCAGCAAGGGAAGTTTAGGTTAGATATTAGGAAAAACCTTCTCACTAGGAGGGTAGTAAAACACTGGAACAGGTTATCCAGAGAGGTTGTGGAATCTCCATCCTTGGAAGCTTTTAATACCAGGTTCGATAAAGACTTGGCTGAGATGATATAGTTGGAAATGATCCTGCTTTGAGTAGGAGGTGACCTCCCCAGGTTCCTTCCAACCCAAATTTTCTATGATTCTATGGGCATTT